AAGAGTCACATACTTTATCACATGTGACTATTCAAGTAGAAGCTGAATCGGAAGAATCTTCTTTGTTTGAAGTGGTTCCACAACAACAATCACAACCTTTTAGTTCCCCTGCTGCAACAACACATGATTCAGAGGATTTACAACGGCCCATTAGTTCTATGAAAGAACAATATGCAGAAAATATTGGAGAAGAAATGACGGATGCTGAAGTGTCACATATTTTGGCAACAGAGACGAATTTACAACTGATTAAAACGGAAGAACCTTCTTCGTCTAGAGCTGTTCCAGGCATAATAGCTACTGATCATGGTGAAACAACAAATGTTGAGACACCACAAGCAGATATTTCACAACAAGAAAGTAGTTCGCTACAAGAAGATAGTTTGCTACAAGGAGGTTGTTTGCAACAAGAAGATAGTTCACAACCAAAAGAAAGAAGGAGGCCAGAAACATCAGATATTTGGAAATTTCTGCATTCAGTAGGAATTGATTCTCCAGAACCTATTTTAACTCTATATGAAGAAGACGAAGATTTACAACCACTTACTCATCGTGAATGTTCAAGTCCTGAAACAGATGATTCACAAGGAAGAGATAGGTTAACGATAAGATCATCCAGAAGATCACGTGGAAGCACGGATATCGATAATTTACAAAAAGAAAGGAAGTCACCAGAAGCAGATATATCATCAGAATCAGATAGTTCACGAAGGAAAACAAAATTTCTACAAATAAAAAGAGGTTATCATTCCTCTTCAACATCAGATGAAGATGAAGATGAGAAGATTGATTTGGAAAATCCTTCTTCCTCTTCTCCAAAAAAACGATCAAAACAAGTTGGTTCTCGTGGTAAGACAAAACATCAATTAGATGTTCCACAAGAAGCAAGTAGACAGAGAAAAAGGTCACATGAAACCTCAAGTGAAAGTAATGATATCGATTCAGGTGATTTACCAAAATCAGGTAGATCACCAAAATCAGCTATTTCACCAGAAGCAGATAGTTCTCAAAGGAAAAAAAAATTTCTAGAAATAAGAAGACGTTTTGAAACTGCTTCAACAAAAGATGAAGATAATGATAAAAAGATTGATTCGAAAGAACCTTCTACCTCTTCTTTAAAAAAACAATCAAAACCAGTTGTTTCTCGTGGTAAGACAAAACATCAATTAGATGTTCCACAAGAAGCAAGTAGACAGTGGAAAAGGTCACTTGAAACGTCAAGTGAAGACACGGATATCGATGTAAGTGATTTCCAAAAATCAAGTAGCTCACGAAAATCAGCTATTTCACCAGAAGCAGATAGTTCTCAAAGGAAAAAAAAATTTCTAGAAATAAGAAGACGTTTTGAAGCTGCTTCAACAAAAGATAAAGATACAGATGAACAGATTGATTTGGATAAACCTTCTACCTCTTCTTCAACAAAACAATCAAAACCAGTTATTTCTCCTGGTAAGACAAAACATCAATTGGATGTTCCACAAGAAGCAAGTAGACTAAGGAAAAGGTCATATGAAACCTCAAGTGAAGACACGGATATCGATGTAGATGATATACCAATAGCAGATAGCCCACCAAAATCAGATACTTCACCAAAAGGAGATGGTTCACAAAGGAAAAAAAAATTTTTAAAAATAGGAAAACGTTATGATTCTTCGTCAAAAAAAGATGAAGATAAAGATAAAAAGAAAGGAATATAAAAAGAAAGACAACATAAATCGTATTATTGTATAGGAGACTTAAATGTCTTCTATGTTAATTATACACTTAAAACGTTAATGTATTATGGCAATTATATTATATACTATATATATTTTCATATAAATTATTGTTTTTATAAATGTATTGAATATTATCACTAATTAGATAGAAATATTTTTTATACATTTATAATAATTACATTATAATTTGTAATAATAATGTAATTATTATAATATATTATTAAATAATAATATATTTTTATGAAATAATTAATGTACGATCATCTTTTCTTTTTTTATTAAAAAGAACAAATTATAGAAACAACTTTAAAGGAGATATATATGATAGCTTACATATATATAGAAATATAATATAAATTAAATAAAACTTAGCGAATAAAAACATTTTATTGAATACAAAAAATTTGACCAACATTTTTTAATTCTTTGATTTTTAATATTTTTTGTTAGTTTTGCTTTTATATTCTTATAAAAATTCTTCATTGTAAAAAATACAATTATAACATGTGTGAACTAATTATACTATTTTGTATAACATTTTAATTTGACTTTTTAAATTATTTTCTTTCCTGAGCTACAATCTTCTTTCTTAGAATCTATGTTAATGATTTAACATTTTAAATTATATATAAAATATTAGTCTATATATTCATTAAGGGCTCATTCTGATTTATCATTTTGAAAAAATCAATTCTTTTTTTGTGCATTTTTTGAAAGTAGATATATGTAGAATTATCATACAAAAATTTTAGAACGATCCGAGCAGTTTAAGTATATTATTTTGCGATCCAAACACATAGAGATATTACAGATAGTGGAGACAAACCATTGGCGGTTGTGTAAGTGGATATGTCTCAGCATGAATATAGCAGCAAAAAACAAAAGGTTGATGTTGACCTGACAAAAACAGAATCACTTGAAAGATGTCTAGGTGGCCACACTCAAAATAATAATGAGTGCTTTAACAAATGCGTCTGGGCTATTGTGCTTAAACACCTATTTAATGGTAAAAAAAATTGTTGAAATAGCTTGTAAATTGACATGTTGTATATTCAACGAAGGTTTTGATCCAATACTGAAAATAATGCACGTTTTGGGTATCAAACTTGGCCCTATCGCAGTTAATTATGCCAGCAACCGCGACAACACGCGTGTGCGCTCAATCAATCGTTTGAGCGGAGAATCTTTAAAAGAAGCCAGGACACAACGAAAAAAGGCTAGAGTAGAAGATAATGAGTACTTTGAAGTAGCAGAAAGCGTACCGTATGGGGCAGGCATCGCAGAATAAGGTAAAGTCAGACTTTTTTAAAATTTAAAAAAAAACTTAATACGCGTTTTTCTCGAAACAACGTTTTTTTCGGTTGGCGGGCATGATTTCTCCGAAACTACTCAACTAATCCTTCTGAAATTTTAACCACATACTTTACACATGAATAGCTATCTCGCATGCTACAACCAAGTCAAAATATTTATTTTTACTATATTTTTTTTGTAAAAAAGTGCGAAAAAAATCAACGATTTTTTTATTTTTCAAAAAATGGCCGTCATTTTGTTTTGTTTTCATAAAAATTGATAGTTGTAGCATACCCGATAGCTATTGTCATACTGAAATTAATACTGTTTAATTTTTTTGTTTTAGATCAACCGTTCTTAAATTTCGATGCCTGCTAACAGCATACCTACTTTTTAAGGGTTCACGTTTGTCAGCCATTTTGAATGTCAAAATATGTTAAAAATAATAAAAAAAAAATTTTTTCTCGTACTTCTAGAGTGTATTTATCATACCCAACATCTTTCATATGTATATGTATCCTACTATGCCTAAAAAGAAATCGTGAAAATAGCCATTTTTTTAGCGTATAAACCAGAATGAACCCTTAAATATATTGAATGTATATATATCAGGGTGGGTCAAAAAAATGACTTATTTTTTTTTTTCAAGTGCCATGGAAAAATGGGTTGCTAGACACCTTAAAACAATTCTCACCAAATCATCATCAAACTTTTTTGACCCACCCTAATATATATAGTACATTATTATCATTGGACATAGCTGTTAATTATATGAATATACTTATGTTAAATATAAACTACACTATACTTTAAATATCATAATAATATTAAATTATTTTCTTCTTAATACTTTAATACTAAATCAAATGTTTATTATTGTCGTTAACAATGTCACAGATAATGCTTTTAAATATGAATTAATTATTTCAAATAATCGATATTAAACTCAAGACTCAAGATATCAATTAAATAAAAACTCATTTATACTTTTCTCAAGTAATTTATCAACGAAAATATGTGTTTTGTTTTTTTCAGAACAATTATTATCGATTAAATCATATAAACTCGGTATAATTAATGTTATAACGAATAAATATGTTATAATTTATGATATGTCCTTATACTAGTTGTAAATGATGTTGGTAAATATATCGAAGATCGAGATTCGATAATTGAGAGTTGAATTATTCGAAAATTTTTTTTTTCTTTTGAATTTCATATTACTTTCAATTTAATCTCAACTGAACAATCAAATCTCGTTCGTTCTTGTCAGTTAGGATCCTGATTTGACAGACAAGCATTACCTACAATGTGCAAATTATATTTTATTTAATTTCCATTAACAAAAAAGCATTTTAAAATACGTATTTCATCTGAAGATATTTGATCATATATATGGAATTTTTTTAATTTTTGTTTGCTTTTATAAATTTTTGGGACCTTTTTAACAAAAAAAACACACACAAAATAAGCTTGAGAAAGTTATATTTAGTAAAACTACAATTAATGTAGTCACAAAAGGTAATTATAATTAATTTTTTTATGCACAGTGTTTCCAATTAATATTATTTAAATAACTTTTATCGTTATAGGTATATTTCATATGATATATAAATCCATGAAAATAACTACATATATATATATAGATATATATTTATGTATATATATATATTGAATATATATATATATATGCATGTATTGACTACAATACATATATTATATATATATATTTATTATAAAATGTTTATTGTTCGCTTAAAAACTTAAAAAAAAAAGGGTGTGTGATAAACCAATACATATACATATATATCTTATAATTTTATATAACATAAAGGCAAGGTAATTTTATGAAATTATCTACAATAATTTCTTTCTTTAATTTTCTTAATTTTTCATTGAATTTTTTGATATATTAATTTATTTTTTTGTAAAAATACAGATGAGCGACGAAGATCTTGTTCAATGTCCTTATAATCCTAATCACCACGTTCCTAGGTCTCAAATAGACGAGCATAAAAATACATGTAAATTTTTGATGGATCCTACTCAAGAAACTCAAATTACATTTTCATCGCACGACGAGGTAATATATTAGATTTGTTTCTTAAAATTACGTTCTCATTAAGTGATATATGACAAATATTAATTATTATTGATTTCAAACACGAGCCAAGACCCTCAACATCTTACCAGGAGTCACCTCAGGAGGGGAGTTCACTTCAGGAGAAGAGTTCTCATCAGGAGGAGAGTTCACAACAGGAGGAGAGTCAAATAGCAGAACTTCCAAATTTACAAGGCCCATCTTTTCAAGAATGGAGAAAATCCCAAGAACCAGCAGAAATACAGAAAACATCACTTTCTAAATTAAAAAGGGTATGAAAATAGTTGTTAAAATGAAATAAGACATATATTACATAAAATGTATTTAATATCAGCCAAGACTTAACCCAAAGTCGTTTAGAAAGAGAGATATCCCAGATAAATCCTGGAAACCAAAATTAATGCAAGATAAAAAGTCAAGTTCAAAGAAGTCAGAAATGCGAATACAATCATATTATAAAAGATTGAATAAAGAAAGGAAGGTAAATGTAGTAATTATCAATTTGAATGACTTGAAATTTTTTTCTTTTTTTTCTTCTTTTTTTTTAATAAAAATCATTTCATTTGATATAATAGGAACTTAAGAAACTAAAAATAGACAGTGGTTCTGATGAAGCTTCTTCATCAAGTAGTGGATCTCCATTATCATTTGTAGACACTATGCCAGATAACAAGAAACAAATTCTATATGATATGGGTTCCAAATTTATGACACAATTGGCATCTACTTCACAACAAAAAGATTGTCCACAACAAGAATCTAGTTCAAAAGAAAAGATAACTAAAAAAATGGATGTTGAAAGATGGGTAATTCAATCGTCACATTTTTCATCAGAAGTGACTACTCCATTAGAAGTTGAATTAGAAGAGCCTCCATCAACTAGAGATGTTCTACAAGAACAATCGCAATCATTTAGTGTACCTGCAGAAACAACACATGATAGGGTTCGTTCACAACAGCCAAAAGAGACAATCAAAAAGAAACATGAAGAAATAGGTACAGAAATAATAATGGTAGCTGAAGAGTCACATATTTTATCAGAAGTGACTACTCCATCAGAAGTTGAATTAGAAGAGCTTCCATCAACTGGAGATGTTCTACAACAACAATCACAACCTTTTAGTTTCCCAGCTGCAACAACACATGATTCGGATGATTTACAACGGCACATTAGTTCTATGAAAGAGAAATATGCAGAGAATATTGAAGAAGAAATGGCGGATGCTGAAGTGTCACATATTTTGGCAACAGAGACGAATTTACAACTGATTAAAACGGAAGAACCTTCTTCGTCTAGAGCTGTTCCAGATATAATAGCTACTGATCATAGTGACACAACAAATGATGAATCACCACAAGCAGATATTTCACAACAAGAAAGTAGTTCGCTACAAGAAAGTAGTTCGCCACTAGAAGATAGTTCGCAACAAGAATTTAGTTCGCTACCAGAAGATAGTTTGCTAGAAGGAAGTATTGTGCTACAAGAAGATAGTTCGCTACAAGAAGATAGCTTGCTACAAGGAGGTAGTTTGCTAGAAGAAGATATTGAACAACTAGAAGAAATCTGGGGGGAAGAAACGTCAGATATGTTGAGTTATCAGGATTCAATAGAAACTGGATCTTCAAAACCTTCTTCATCTGTACAAGAAGAACAATCCAAACCAGTTGTTTCTCATGATAAGGCAAAACACGAATTAAATGTTCCACAAAAACGAAGTCGGGTTAGTAAAAGGTCATACGAAAGCTCAAGTGAAAACACGGATATCGATGATTTACAAAAAGAAGGGTGCTCACCAGAAGCAGATATTTCATCAGAAGCAGATGGTTCACGAAGGAAAAAAATATGTCTAGAAAAAAGAAGACTTTATGATTCTACTTCAACAACAGATGAAGATAAAGGTGAAAAGATCGAATTTGAAAAACCTTCTTCCTCTGTTCCAAAAAAACAATCCAAACCAGTTGTTTTTCGTAGTAAGACAAAACCTCTATTAGATATTCCACAAGAAGCAAGTAAGCTAAGAAAAAGGTCACATGAAACCTCAAGTGAAAATACGGATACCGATATAGGTGATTTGCAAAAAGCAGGTAGCTCACTAAAATCAGATATTTCACCAAAAGCTGATGTTTCACCAAGGAAAAGAAAATGTCTAGAAAAAAGAAGACGTTATGATTCTACTTCAACAACAGATGAAGATAAAGGTGAACAGATAGAATTCGAAAAACCTTCTTCCTCTGTTCCAAAAAAACAATCCGAACCAGTTGTTTCTCATGATAAGGCAAAACATGAATTAACTGTTCCACAAAAAGAAAGTCGGGTTAGTAAAAGGTCATACGAAAGCTCAAGTGTGAGCACGGATATCGATGATTTACAAAAAGAAGGGAGCTCACCAGAAGCAGATATTTCATCAGAAGAAGATGGTTCACGAATGGAAACAAAATATCTACGAATAAAAAGATGTTATCATTCTTCTTCATCAACGGATGAAGATGAAGGTAAAAAGATTGATTTGAAAAAACCTTCTCCATCTTCTCCAAAAAAACGATTAAAAGCAGTTGTTACTCGTCGTAAGACAAAACATCAATTGGATGTTCCACAAGAAGCAAGTGGAGTAAAGAAAAGGTCACATGAAACCTTAAGTGAAAGCATAGATATTGATTCAGGTGATTTACAAAAAGCAGGTAGCTCACCAGAATCAGATATTTCACTAGAGGCAGATGGTTCACAAAGGAAAAAAAAACATCTAGAAAAAAGAAGACGTTATGATTCTTCTTCAAAAACAGATGAAGATTAAAATGAAAAGTAAGGAATATAAAAAGAAAGACAATGTAGATCGTATTTTTGTCCGGGAGATTTAAATGTCTTCTATGTAAATTATACCCGTAAATCGTTAATGTTTTGTTTAAATTATGTTATATATTATATATACTTCTAGATAAATTAATGTTTTTATAAATGTATTGAATATTGTCATTAATTATATAGATATAATTTATATATTTATAACAATTACATTGTAAATTATATTTTTATTAGATAATAACTGTAATATATTATTAAATAATAATATATTTTTATAAGATAATTAATGTACGATCATCTTCGAATATAAAAAAACTGTCTTTTATTCAAAAGAACAAATTATAGAAACAACTTTAAAGGAGATATATAAATGGGCTTATATTTATACATATATATATATATAGAAATATAATATAAATTATATGAAACTTAGCGATTAAAAACATTTTATTGAATACCAAAAATTTGACCAAGACTTTTTAATTGTTTGATTTTTAATTTTTTTTTGTTAGTCTTGCTTTTATATTCTTATAAAAATTCTTTATTGTAAAAAATACAATTGTAACCTGTGTGAACTAAATAAACTATTTTATATAACATTTTAATTTGAATATTTTAATTATTTTCTTTCCTGAGTTACTATATCCTTTTTAAACACCTTATGTTTATGATGTAAAATTTTAAATTAAATATAAAATATTACTATWTATATTTATTAAATATATTAAATATATGTATTATAATAATTTAATTGGACAAAGCCGGTAATTATATGAATTTATTTATTTTGAGTATAAACTACACGAAACTTTAAATATTATAATAATATTTATTTTTTTTTTCTATACTTTATTTAATAATAAAAACAAAAGTTTATTCTTATTGTTACCAATATCACAATTAATGTTTTTAATTACGAATTTCGATGTATTTCAAATAATCGATATTAAACTCGAGACTCGAGGTATCAATTAAATGAAGAACATTAATTCATACTTTTCTCAAATAATTTTTCAAGGAGGATATGTGTTTTGTTATTTTTTAGAACACCTGTTATCAAATAAATCAAATAAACATGATTTAATTTATTATTAACGAATTAATATGTTATAATTTGTAATATGACCTTATTCTTAAATGATCTATGTAAATATATCGTTTCTCGAGATTTGATAATTGAGAGTCGAAAAATTCGAGATTTTTTTTTAATTTGAATTTATTATTATTTTCATATGAATTTCAACTGAACAATCACTCTTTGTTCGATCTTGTCAGTTGGTGGGCTTATTTGACAGACAAGCATTACTTACAATGTGCAAATTAAATTTTATTCAAATTCAATTAACAAAAAAGCATTTTAAAATACGTGTTTCATCTTACGATATCTGATCATATGTATAAAATTTTTTAATTTTTGTTTGTTTTTCTCATTTTTCGTACTCTTTTAAATAATACGTTAACAAAAAAAAACGCGGAGTAAATTTGAGAGAGTTATCTTTCATAAAACTCCCGTTAATTCTGTGACAAAAAGTAATTATAATTAATATTATTCTTCAAAAAGTTTTTTATTTAATATTATTTAAATAACTTTTATCAAATTTTAGGTTTATTTCATATGATATATAGATCCATGAAAAGTTATTTAAAAAAATAAATATATATATACATGTATGTATAGATATATTTATGTATATATATTTTGAGTATATATATATGCATGTATATTGAATCAAATACATATATTATATATATATTTATTATACGATGCTTATTGTGAACTTAAAAGCTTAAAAAAAAAGAGTGTGAGATAAACCAATGCATATACATATATATCTTATACTTTTATACAACATATAAAAAAGGTAATTTTTTGAAATTATCTACAATATTTTCTTTTTTTTTTAGTTTTATTAATTTTTCATTGTATTTTTAATTAATTAATTTCTTTTTATAGAAATAAAGATGAGCGACGAAGAACTTGTTCAGTGTCCAAATAATCCCAATCACCTGGTTCCTAGATCTCAAATAGACGAGCATGTAAATACATGTGAATTATTGATGGATCCTAATCAAGAAATGCAAATTACAACTCCATCCGATGACGAAGTAATATATTACATTTGTTACTTAAAATTACGTTCTCATCAAGTGTTATAAGACAAACATTAATTAATATTGATTTAAAACATTAGCCAAGACCCTCAACATCTTACCAGGAGTCACTTCAGGAGGAGAGTTCACTTCAGGAGGGGAGTTTACTTCAGGAAGGGAGTTCACAACAGGAGGAGAGTCAAATAACAGAACTTCCAAATTTACAAGGTCTATCTTTTCAAAAATGGAGAAAATCCCAAGAACCAGCACAAATACAGGAAACATCACTTTCTAAATTAAGAAGGGTATGAAAATAGTTCTTAAAATGGAATAAGACATATATTACATAAAATGTATTTAATATCAGCCAAGACCTAACCCAAAGTCGTTTAGAAAGAGAGATGTCCCAGATAAATCCTGGAAACCAAAATTAATGCAAGACAAAAAGTCAAGTTCAAAGAAGTCAGAAATGCGAATACAATCATATTATAAAACATTAAATAAAGAAAGGAAGGTAAATGTAGTAATTATCAATTTGAATGACTTGAAATTTATTTCTTTTTTTTTTTTTTATTTAATAAAAATCATTTCATTTCATATGATAGGAACTAAGGAAACTAAAAATAGACAGTGGTTCTGATGAAGCTTCTTCATCAGGTAGTGGATCTCCATTATCATTTATGGACACTATGCCAGATACCAAGAAACAAATTCTATTTGATATGGGTTCAAAATTTATGGCACAATTGGCATCTACTTCACAAAAAACAGATTGTTCACAACAAGAATCTACTTCACAAGAAAAGATAACTGAAGAAATGGATGTTGAAAGATGGGTGATACAATCGTCACGTTTTTCGTCAGAAGTGACTACTCCATTAGAAGTTGAATCGGAAGAGCCTCCATCAACTAGAGATGTTCTACAAGAACAATCGCAATCATTTAGTGTACCTGCAGAAACAACACATGAAAAGGTTCGTTCACAACAGCCAAAAGAGACAATCAAAAAGAAACATGAAGAAATAGGTACAGAAATAAAAATAGTAGCTGAAGAGTCAGATATTTTATCAGAAGTGACTACTCCATTAGAAGTTGAATTGGAAGAGCCTCCATCAACTAGAGATGTTGTACAAGAACAATCGCAATCATTTAGTGTACCTACAGAAACAACACATGATAGGGTTCGTTCACAACAGCTAAAAGAGACAATCAAAAAGAAACATGAAGAAATAGGTACAGAAATAAAAATGGTAGCTGAAGAGTCACATATTTTATCAGTAGTGATTACTCCATTAGAAGTTGAATTCGAAGAGCCTCCATCAACTGGAGATGTTCTACAAGAACATTCGCAATCATTTAGTGTACCTGCTGAAACAACACATGATTCGGATCTTTCACAAAAGTCAAAAGTGACAGAGGAAAAGATATCTGAAAAAATGGATACAGAAGAAAAAATAGAGACTGAAGAGTCACATACTTTATCAGAAGTGACTACTCAATTAGAAGTTGAAATCGAAGAACCTTCTTTTGTTGCAGATGT